GCTCAAAGCCCCATCCAACCTTTATGGGACTGTAAACACTTCCAGGGCTGGGGCATCCACAGCTTCTCTGGGTAACCTGTTCCAGTGCCTCACCACCCTCACCATGAAGAATTTCTTCCTTATATCTAACCTAAATCTTCCCTCTTCCAGTTTAAGACCATTACCTCTTGTCCTATCACTACACACCCTTGTAAAAAGTCCCTCCCCAGCTTTCTTGTAGGCGCCTTTTAGGTACTGGAAGGCTGCTCTAAGGTGTCCCCGGAGTCTTCTCTTCTGCAGGCTGAACAACCCCAACTCTCTCAGCCTGCCTTCAGAGGAGAGGTGTTCCAGCTCTCTGACCATCTTCGTGGCCCTCCTCTAGACTCGCTCCAACAGGTCCATGTCATTCTTGTGTTGAGGACCCCAGAGCTGAAGGCAGTACTGCAAAGGGGTCTCACCAGAGGGAGGGTCTCATGAAGGGGTCTCACCCCTCCCTCAACCTGCTGGTCACACTTCTTTTGGTGCAGCCCAGGATATGGTTGGCTTTCTGGGCTGTAAGCACACATGGCCAGGTCATGTTGAGTTTCTCCTCAACCAGCACCCCCAAGTCCTTCTCCTCAGGGCTGTTCTCAATGCATTCTCAACCCGGCCTGTATTTGTGCTTGGGATTGCCCTGACCCATGTGCAGGACCTTGCACTTGGCCTTGTTGAACTTCATGAGGTTCGCATGGGCCCACCTCTCAAGCCTGTCAAAGTCCCTCTGGATGGCATCCCTTCCCTCCAGCGCGTTGACTGCACCAGACAGTTTGGTGTCGTCAGCAAACTTGCTGATGGTCCACTCAACCCCACTGTCCATGTCACTGACAAAGATGTTAAACAGCACCGGTTTCAATACCAAGTCCTTATGGCAGATGATGCTACAAAACAGCAAGTGAAAGCTGTGCTATGGCTGACCACCTGGTCCCAGAAGAAAGCACATTCAGATAAGATATGTTGTAATGAAGGTATTGCTGACATTTATGGTTAGCATGTGGGGGGTTGAGCCCTCTTATACCAAGGAAAGAAAAACATATCCAAGGCAAAGTAGTGAAGGCTGGATATAACTGTGATATGGGGCCTGCCCAATGGCTCAGCTTTTCTTCTGGTACATGATGGTGTGTTTTCATAAAAATGGCCAGAATTACCTTCTCCACGACTGCCTAGTCACTGCTTCTGAGAGAGAAGCCTATGCAATCACAGATGACAGCTTTACCAAGTGGGTCAAACAAAATCAGGTGGCTGGAAATTTTCTTTAGGAACAAATTGCCCTCAGTCTAGACTCAGACTGGGCCAAAATATATATAAAATCTCAATTACAAGTCAACGGGCCCATCATTTGTCTGTACCAGGGTTTGTCAGTCAGAGGAGCTCAGCTCTTGGTGCTTGCCTTTGCTTCATACCTTAGTTTCACTACAGGTGGATATGTGTAAGTTGCTCCAGCAATATGTAAAAACATGGAGGGTTTTTTTAAAAGCCTGATTATTAGACAAAGGAGATAGAAAGACTGGCAGAATGGGACCTAATTAATCACGTCTATCATACATGGAAGAAATAAAATGAAAATGTGAATTACTGAAATGAACAATAAAGTGATCCTTTGTTCAGGATTAGAAATAGGCAGTTGGGACTAATTATATAACGCGATTTATGAGTAAACAGATCCTGCAGGAATAAATGCTGTGCAAAAATAAATCTGCTTCATAGAAAGTAATATATGAGTTAGAACACAAAGGATTTGGACTCCTAACAAAAAGGTATTTAGAGACTAATACTGATGTTGGCTGTCATTCAAAGCCTACCCATTGAAAAGAAAATAATAATAGATTAATAACATGAAACATTATTGAGCCAGTAGTACTGGGAACAAGGAAATGTCACAGGTCTCCTCTCCTGCAGGAGGCCTCTGATGCCCATTGTGCGCTGCCAGAGGGCAGATTCCCCATGAGGTTTGGGATCTTCAGCCCCCTCCTTACCCCTTCTGTGCTGAGAGCTGAGGTAAGAGGGTGAGAGGCTGCTGGTACCTCCTGTACAGCAAGCATACCTGGCTTTGGGAAGCTGAGGCTGGAGGTGCCCAGAAGGAGCTGTGCTCCCCAGTGCTCGACCTGGGCCCAGTACAACACACAACAGCTCCTGCCCAGCTGGGGCTTCCTCCTTCTGCCCCTGGAAATGGAAGTCTGGGGATGGGAGAGACTGGCAGAGACCGGCAGAGACTGGCAGTTTGAGGAGCACTGAGCCTCCAACATGCTTTCTGCATGGGGAGAAGACATGGAGGAGACCCTGCTTGCCTTTATGAGTTTAAATCTGGTCTTGTATTTCCATGTCTGCAGAAGAAGAAAGAAAGAGGGATATCTTTTGTCAGTTCATTCCCAGGCTCTTAAGTCATGGGGTTAGTTGTGGTACTAGGCAGCCGACATTTCTGCAGCAGCAAAGATGAAAGTCAGACAAAATAATCCAAAGAAGTGCTTAACTGTGACTATTAAGTCCCAAAGGATTTATCAGAGTTTACTTTCCTCTGACTTCTAGGAGAGACTTCGGCTGAAGTCCATTAAGCAAATTAAAAAGCAGAAGGAAAATAAACACAGATTAATGGAGATAGGAATTTTATGAAGAAAAGGAAACAGCCAGACCTTGTAACAAAGCTCCTGGGCTGCTATTCAGGTTTTAAGGCCCCCAGACCTTATAAATGGAGGAGATTATTCTCTTCACATTGCCCTGCTGGTGATTGTAAAAGAGAGTTAATAGAATTTTTTTTCCCCCACTGAGAAGTCCTGTAGAAACTCGAGTAATAATATAATCCATAATGTTTCAGTTCAGTGCGTGACATGCAGCTATTTGTTCCTTTGTTTCCAGGCAGGGAATCGAGCTGTAAATCTTATAGCGACACAGATACTGTACTGGGTCTGTGGCATTTTATCTCCTGCT